TAAGCATTCATTAAGCAATTTTTCTCTTGATTCACAGTAATGCTGATATATTTGTTTTCCATAGGTTATAATATTCAGACATTAGAAGGCTATAATGATGTGATGAGTAATTTTGAGAATATTGTTGGATTAAATGTATTTGAAGGCTGTACACTTGAATGATTCTCTGGGTAAGGCTAAACATTCAACAATGCTGAATTTAGTCGCAATTGCATATATTGGTTTAATTTTTTGTGTTTTTAGTAACACATATGCTTGGTTAAATAAACAGACGTGTGTTTATGAGCAAAAAAGGTCATATCTGAATTTAGCATATGATATGTCAGGAGTTTTTCTAGAAAAAAACTGCAAGAGGGAGAACTGCAATTCAGCAGAGCCACCAAGTGGGGGAGATAGGGTTCTCCCTACCAGGGTGTAGAGTTTTTGATAATTCTAAGTTAAAATTGAGCATGGCTTCCTTGGGGCCAAAATTACTATCAGACAGGTCACAGTTAAAGACTGTGGTCTATGTGATCCTTGGTCAATGAGAATTTTATGGTTGCCAGAAGATCTGCTCCTCAGGGTAAGGGGGCCATGGCCATGGCCCCTGTTCCCTTATTTAAAAAAATCCCTGATATGACATAATGGGCATTTTCTGTTGTATTTGTGCTTCTATTAGAGGTGTGCTTATAATAAAACAAATATGCTATAGGTAATAGCATTGCTTCATCGCTGCATTTCTATAGGTAATAGCATTGCTTCATCGCTGCATTTCTATAGGTAATAGCATTGCTTCATCGCTGCATTTCTATAGGTAATAGCATTGCTTCATCGCTGCATTTCTATAGGTAATAGCATTGCTTCATCGCTGCATTTCTATAGGTAATAGCATTGCTTCATCGCTGCATTTCTATAGGTAATAGCATTGCTTCATCGCTGCATTTCTATAGGTAATAGCATTGCTTCATCGCTGCATTTCTGGTATACTCTCTGGGTCTCCCACTGTCCTGTAGATTTTGTACACAATACAATGTAACACAAACCTCTTGTTTGTTTGTAGGGGAACTTGGTTGTCATAGAGACAGACATGAGAACATTGGCAAGGGCAAGATAGGTTTGTCTGGTTTTCGTCATATCATGAATGATCCACGTTTTGACAACATACCCTTAGTTTTGGAGACACCCATGGAGTAAGTATCATCACTTCAATTTCTTAGAAATTGTTTTTTGTGTTAATTGTGAATGCCTTTTTTTTCCCCTTATCAAAAGTTATTTATATTTTTCTATAATTTCTTTATTAATTTTGGATCAAATAAACATTAACTTTCCATTGCTACAAATACAGAAAACATTTTATGGGATTATTTTTGTGATTTGTGACAAAAGTAGACTTGCATGTTCAAAGAATTGGCCGACTGTCAAACATAGAATGTTGGTGTGATAACATTTGTGGGATCACCTCAGGATTCTTGTATCAGTAGATATTTATAAACAGATACAATACAGTAGATTTCTAAAACTGGTTTTGTGTTATCTCAAGATCAAAAGTTGATGAAGAGAAGTGCGTGCAACTTGCCATGTGCATACTTGTGCTAGTGTCAGTTTTGTATGCTGATGGGTTTGGGTGATAATTCAGTCAATTATGTACATTCGTAGAATGTGCAACTTTGCTTTTAATGTTGCTCACATGAGATAATTGCAGAGGTTACATTTACTGAAACAGTCATAATTGTGAAATACAGATTCAGTCGATACATTTGGGGTATTCATCAAATCGAGTATTCATGCCCTCATCTACTTTGGGATAAATATCAACATCACTGACATTATCTTGAACATTTCTTTTCTTCCATGTGTTGTCATGGAAACAGCTTGAGTGATGAAGAGGAAATCAAAATTCTCAACTCCTTGATCACAGACTAATTTATCTACACAAACTAGAATGGTTCCAATTATGAAGACACGTTAGTTTTTTCTATTTTCATCTGCCAGAAAATAGAAAACTTAGTGTATCTAAAAAAAAAACTATAGTAAGAATAGTTGCTTTTTTTCACAATTAACAGTGTTAATAAAGTGGTCAATAACCTGTATTCTCTTTCAAAGATGTTGTTTTCACATTGCCGAATTTACATTGTTTTTCCCCTTTTCTTAATGTGAAATCTGTACAAGTAGTACTATATTCCTATGTACGATAGTAAGTAATTTAGTAAGTAATTTAAATAAAACTCCCATAGTGCATTACATGTTTTTTGTCACTAACCACAAAGTTTTTATTACCTGTATGTGATACTCTTATTTAATGTTACACCATAAACCTGAGAAATATTTTTGTTAGCTTTTCAGGTAAATTTTATCTCTAACTTAACACAGAGTTTTCAAAATTCTTTTATTATAGATCTAACTTATATTAGTTAATTATTTGCGTGATATAGTTTTAACGCTATTTTTCTATTATAACTTGTGCAAAATAAAAGCATATATTTTGAAACACACACTCATTGTCTCAGAAGTTTATTTTTAATCATTAAATGGACGGTAAAAATAAACTGCACATTACAATTAATTCACATTTCTGTTACAGTGTTAGGACAAAATTGCCTGATAACAATAAAGTTATTTACAATACCAATTTTAAATTTATGGTAGAATGAACAGTGACATACCACAAGCAAATTTTTGTACAAAAGTAGATAAATATCAAAACATACCATGAACATTTTGAAACATAGCTTACATAAGATCACATAACATTTTTACAAAGGCTGAAGGGACAGTCGAGCATGCTAAGATGTGTAAAAGCTCAATCCCCTTGTGTTCTATTTGCATTGTGCAAATGTAATATAAAGTGGTATATAATTTGAAAGATTGGAATATTATGGGTAGACACTAATTACTTGCTGTGTCCCTCAGTACAGCTAATAGCTAATGTTTAGCTACATGCACTGCTCCCCCTCTCCGAATCTTCATCTCCCAACAATCCAAAAGATTTCAATACTTTATGTTGACGGCTATTTTTCAATGTTTTTAAGTCATTGCCATATTGCTGCTCTCTCATGAGTTGCTTTCTTTGATCTTCCAGTTCTTGTTTATGTTCATGGAGTGCTCGAGTTGTCTGGATCAGTTTCAGTAATTCTCTTCTGAGCTCTCTGTTTTCATCTTTTATCCTTGACGTGTGTTCATTCAGACAGTGCAGAGCTTCCTGCAAAGCAAGACCAGAAATAACATTGAGTGATAATACACATTTATTATCTTGCCAATAATCAATGTCATTTAAAGCAACAATAGCTGTAACTGTGGATCCTTTTTCTCTGATTTTATAAAAAAAAACATTTCCTGTGTGACTGTCATTAGTTCCAATTAGTAACAGTCATCGTTGAAATGTGGACATGGGAAGCATACCATGTACGCTATATACCAACATTGTATATTAAATCACTTGCAAGTGATAAAATATGGCTGTGGGGTGTGACGTCTAGGTCTCCAGAGAGCGCCATCTATTGAAAATCAGATTGAAAATTTTTTGTCATGTAAACATAGGTTTGAGGACAAAATGTCAAATACATTACCATCTTGAGCGACTAAGCCTCTCTCTCTCTCTCTCTGACCACCGCTTATGATTTTGTGTCTTTTCTCATAATGTGCATCAACACAATTTTCTATTGTTATCATTGTGTGACTATTTAGTTGGCATTTGATAAACTACTATATTTTAGCTGGAATTAATTTTTGCTGAAAAGACTTTTTGGGTGTTTTGTATGGTATTTATTTTCACCGATTATTGATGACTTGAATATACCATCTTCCATACAAACTGTCCATATGATATTGCAGCTCATGAATATTAATAGCAATCAATCACTCACCACACTGCATAATTTCTTATGTTAGTCATCTTTTTATTGTCAAAACAATAACAAGACTTGAAGAAAATCTTACCCTGTTAGCTTGTTTAGCCAGTTCGTTGACTTTAGACTCAGAATCCTGTTGGTAATTCCTCTTCTCGGACAAGAACTGTGTTTTGAGTTTTTGTATAGTATCAGTGTGTTTACCACGCATTTTCATCACTTCTTTCTCAAGATCTTTTATTCTTTGCACCTGATCAGCTTGAAGCCGCTAAAAACACAGTAAAGATCAACAGTGAATAGGATTGTTATTTGAAAACTAGTATTTATTAGAATCATATTAATACTGTACAGCTGATTAAAACATAAATGAGCAGAAAAGAATGAGGTTGGGTTCTATTACCTTGAATTCCTCCAAATCATCAAGTTCCTTTTTTGTCTTGGCTAATTCTGCTTCTTTTTCCAGAAGTATGTTTCTAAGGGCTGTTGATGTAAAAAAAAAATCACCAAATTTAAGTAATAACTAAAGAACATTGCAGTGGAGTTGAAGCATATACACAAAGCATAATTATATACATGAAAAACCTATCAACAAAAAGCTGATCTCTGATTGGTCTGACTGTTGGCCAGCCAATCAAGAACAAGATACCAAAAATACAATGATTACTCTTGACAGCATCACTGAGATTGACTTTATGGTGGGCAAAAATGCTAAGGGCAGTTAACACGATCAATTAAGTCTGGCAGTGTAAGAAATCACCAAATACTAAAGAAGCAGATATCATACATTTATACCTGATCTGAAAAATAAAAAGATATACCTTGTTTCTTCTCTTCATATTCTTTTAACATTTCTTCTTTCTGTTTGTTAATGTCTTCTATTTCTTTTTGGTTTTGATCTGTTAATGTGATGATAGTTGTTTGTCTCTTGTGGGTTTTCTTTGACATATAAGACATGTACTCATGCTGTTGACAAAGTAAGAGATTTGCGTTATAACATTGCACCAATCGGCATTCAATAAAAGAGGAATGGCATTCCTAGCCGAAAATCAGGCTGACAAAATACTACATGTATATACAAACTGTGAATTGGCATTAAATTTATTAAAATATACAATATATGTTTACCACCTGGTGCCAGAACAAGTGTTGACTTGATAACAAAAATAAGGGACATTATACTTACACTTTCCACTCTAGTTTGATGGGCTTCCTGTTGTAACCATTCATTTTCATGACGTCTGTCAATTTAGTTAAGAGACTAAACTGTTTCATGTAGTTCAATTAACATGATCATCCAACCAATCCCTTCAATCTTTATGAAAGTCTAATAGCTAAATGAGGTATGTACACATGCATGTACAACTGAACTTCCACAAAAAGGTGGTATCCTAGTTAATACCAACAATTAATAGAACTCTGGGTTCAGTTCAGACACGGTTTTAGTAACCGTGGTTCAGAGATACAATGACAGTTTTTTGTGACTGTTTCAGACATCAACAACAACTGTGCTTATTGCATATGCACATGCAAACTGGTCACCCAAACCAAATACCGCATGTTTGAAAAGCAAGACAGATGTACTGTCATCTGATTTATACTGCTGAGTAATGTCCACTTTGAAAATATAACCCACAGCCTTCCTGGTGTGTGGCAAACAGGCAAACCACTGTACTATTGCTTGGGTCAGACCCTGGAGGTAAAAAGAGAAGGTCAGACACAGCTTACAGTACTAGTATTAGCGGT